CCATTAAAAAAAAAAGAAAAAACGAAAAAAGAATTCATCAGCAGAGAGCTTTCATAAAGCCGAGTAACAATAACCGAGGACGGATTGCAGCTTGAGCAGTTTAGGAGGCAGGAGAAGGAAATAAGCTGCTCACAGCCGGTGCAGCAGTCCACTGTGCTGTAAAATGTTATCCCATTATTTTCTGATTTTGAACCGACGTTGTTTCAGAAAATCTATACCAAAATTCACGATTATGGAATTTGACAGATTTTTTTCCCCTTCAATTCTTCCTGTCATTTTTTTTCGTGTCTGTGTGTGATGACGCGATGCGACAGGTGTGAATAAGCCCTTTCCTCTGATTTTTATGAGCCGTTTGAAAACCAACGTGGTGGTGAGGGACAGGGACACGGGATGTCTGACGACGGCGGTGCGGCCCGCGGGCTGCGTGGCAGGCACTGGCTCACATGCACCCGGCGTGAACCAGAAACCGGTTCTCGCTTTTGGAGGTTGGCAGCGCTGTGTGGTAAGAGTGACGACAAGCACCAGGTGTGTGTGTGTGTGTGTGTGTGTGTGTGTGTGTGTTTGTGTGTGATGCGCGCAGCCGCTTCTCTTGGGGCGCAACGTGTGTCTCTGGTGTAAAATATGCTCCTGGACACGCAAAATTTGTGTTGGCGAGATTTTAATTCATAAAATCGCCAACAGCTTTTCTTAGCGTTTTCACAGTGTAGCTGCGCGGGCGCATTCGTAGCACCCGCCCCTATGTACATAGGGCGCAGCCCGGCCCAGTCCGACGGGCGTTCTAAGCCATAAAACCTGACCTGCGCGTGAAGCCTCTCGGCCGAAAAGTGCAGTTTCCAGCTCTTTCCGAAATTCTTAATACCAACCTATCAATTGCAACTAATTATTTCAAATCTTTTGGTCGTCCAAGTTGTTCGTCTGCCTCCGTCCTTGACGCGATGGTCAGAGTGGGCGTAACGCAGCGCAGCGCCCCGGCCGCTCAGCCGGCCCGGGGAGGGCCGCGCGGACCCCCCGTAGGATCGTTGTATTTCTACCCGAAATGTTGGCAGTGAAATTGTACCCTGCCCGGCAAGGGGCTGCGGGGTCCAGGCGCACAGCGCACAGAGTAGGCAGTCGGTTGAGGAAGAGTCAGGAAGAGAGTCGAGGAGAGGTGAGTGCGGAGAGTCGAGGAGAGTTGTCTTGGAGTGTCGAGTGGACAGAGTTGAGACGCAGAATCGGAGAGTTCGTTCTAGAGCGCGAGTGTGGACTTGAGTGAGTGTGCAGCGGAAGAGAGAGAGAGAGTCGCGAAGAGTGTGTGTAAGTGAGACAGAGACAGTCAGTAGAGTCAGAGCGAGTGCGTAGGGTAGAGAACGAGAGTTTGAGAGACGGTATTTTCTTTGTTTGATTTAGAGTTAATTCTCAGAAGCAGTAAGATTTTCCAGTAGAGTCGTTTCTTTGTAAAGTGCCCTGTTTGAATAATTACCTAATTTGACCTCACTGTAAAAAGCTTACGGTGAATTTCACTGTAAGCTACGGTGACATACACCGTAGGCCACGGTGCTGCAGGGGTTCATCGTAGCTTACGGTGAAATTCACCGTAAGCTTTTTACAGTGCTCAATTTGGTGTATTTTCCTTCAACTCGACATTTTTATATTCGGACACCACAGTTATTCATTTCCTCGATATTTAATTTTCCCAAACCCACGCATCAGTTGGCGGGCGTGCCTCTCAATTTCATTTTCGCGCAATTTTTAAGTTTTGCCCGTCAACATGTGTAAATGTTGTAGAGTTGGAAGTTGCAATTTTTTTCCGGAAATTTCCCGAAATATTGCCGAAATTTTTCGGGAAACTTCAGTCTGAGTCTTCAATTTTCCATTTTTCCGGAAATTTTCCGGAAACTTTTCAGGGTTTCCAACTCTAGCATGTTGTGGTAGGTTTGTGGGTTATATAGGTGTGTGAATGTTGTCGCTCACTTGTTGGCGCAGAGCACTCAAGGTGTGTGAATTTTCCTATTCGCCAATTTTGAACCACATGTGAAGTGCGAATTTTCTTTAGAATTGGCGTATGTTTTCTCGGCTGAATTCTCTGGGAGAAGCGTAGGGAAGCTATACTCCCGAGCGACGGTGATGGAGCAGTCGCTGCATTTCTCGCTCGACCGACGCGACGGACGGCTGTTAGCGCGCAGCTGCTAATGGCGTCTGGGGTCGGAAGCCCTGGGAAGTTTCCGAAAGATTTCAGGAAAAAATCCGGAAAAACGGAAAATTTCCGGGAAAAAATTGCGAATTTCTCAGACTTTAGAAGATTTTCCGTTGTTAGTTTCCAGAAATTTTCGGGAGATTTTCGGAAATTTTCCATCTTTTGGGAAATTTCTAAGCCCAATAAGGGCGTTTCTTTCGTTACTGGGTAAATGAATTTTACCAAGGACCCTTTTCGAAATGGAATAAGTGTGTGCTACATTCGAACACTTCAAAGTGCGTTACCAAATTTCAATCACAAAATTGTGTCGGGCTTGGAAACGTGTGTGACCGTTTTGTCATGCAGGGAAAATTTCGTGACAGCCGTAGAAAATTGCGTCAATTGGGTCACACTTTGCTTTCTGTAAAGTAGTTGCTCGGTGTGCCCGTTTGGGTTGCTCTCTGGGTATGTGTGTGTGTATGTAGGCGGTGACTGACCAGTGTCGGGGAATGCCGCCCCGTATAGTGCCCGGCGCTACACTACAACGCCCTGTGGGCACACAAAGTGCAGTGTGTGTGTGTGTGTGAGAGAGAGAGAGAGAGAGAGAGAGGAGCTCATTAGCTGATGAGATACTGCGTGCTGGTGGTCTGGCTAGCGCTTTGCTGTACGGCGGAAGCACTCATCAGCTAAACGCGTTCGCACCCCCTCTCCTCCCTCTCCCCCCCC